CCCCTCCCGACACAGCTGGGGCTGCCCACCCTTGGGGCTGCCTGTCCCCTTCAACCCCGACCGGTCCCACCCGCTGAGCGTTGCTGATAACACCTTCTAACCTCCTCATGTTGTAACCCAAACCCATGGGTTTGGGGTGCTGCGCTGGCAGCTGGCTGCAGCCAGGATTTGTCCCCAGCGGTGCTGAGCTCCCTGCCGGGGCTGGCCACCCTCATGCTGCTGCAGAATGAGCATCCCTGGAGGGTTGAAAAGAGGGAGACACGGAGGTGGAGGAGGGCCAGGAGGCACCCAAAAGGCACCCAGAAAGGCAAATAGCTCAGAGCAGGGAGGATGGGGGTGCGGGGCTTGTGCCGCTCAGGACCCAGCACATGGGGCTGCGAAGCCCGGCCGCTCCCCATCCATTGGGAGCCGGGGAAGCTGCTCGGACGCGTGGTGTTTACCCACGTTTGCACAGCCGTCCCGTGGTTACGGCACCCATCGCCACGCCTTTGCGACCGGCGCTGATGCAGAATCGCCCGCCCAGGGCCGGATTTCCCTCTGATTCCCAACCCTGGGAGACGCCGTGTTTTCCCAAAAGCTTTGGGGGGAGCCTGGAGCGGAGAAGTTGGGGTAACACGGGCTGCCCCCGCGGTGCACGGGAGCCGGGATGTGGTCTGGGATCTGGGACAGCTTCCAGGGACGGGGCTCCTCGGGAAATCCTGCTGGAGACTCTGATTCAGCATAGAGCAGGAGAAAGGGAAGCAGCAACGGCCCCCAGTATATTTTCCTCTCTTGCCCCAATTTCCTGCCCCCAAACTCTCCTTTTTTCCCATGTGTTAGGGAAAAAGTACTTCTTCCCCCCCCGCCATTCAACCCCTCCCAAACTGGAAACGGTTCAGTCCATGTAAATCAAAAGGATTTTCCAAACCTGGGAACTGAGGGAAGGAAACCTGCTGCTCTTACTGGATTTTGCTCTTCCACTTACATTTTCCAAACTCCACTTCGGCTCCCTTTACAATAAAATATGAGCTGCTCAGAGGGACAAGTGTTATTTCCCCCTTTGCAAGAGCAAATCCCAGAGGGGGTCGTGGCCCGGCCCCGTCCTGGCTGCAGCGAGGGATTTCAGGAGGTTTCTGTTTCTTGCTGCCGCTCTGTGTGTTTGCAGTCGAGGCTCTGGCCCCGTTTGCAGACAGACCATCTGTGCTGCCATATGTCTGTCACCAAGACGTGCGACCGTCACGTGCACGATAGGGGCATCGCTGAGAGCGTTGCCCTGTGCGTAGGGCTGGGACAGGCCCTTCTGAGTCCCTCTGGCACCAGGTTCCAAACATCACAGGAGGGTGGCCGTGGTTAATTGAGTGAGAAGCCCTGGGTGCTGCCCCCTGAGGCTGCATCAGGCTATGGTGGACCCGAGATGCCCTTGTTCCTCCTGGCCAGCCCCGTTACCAGCCAGCGGGCTCTGGTTGCATTTAAGAGCAAGACACAGATGGTGCTGGGGTTGTCCTCGCTCCTCTTGCTGTCTTCTTGCAAGATTGCAGCCCCATCTGCTGCTGAGGGAATTGGTTCTCTCTTGCTCAAGGGAAAGAAAAATGAATAAAATCTGGTTTTCTCCAGGGAGGGTCATGGATGTCTCCGTCTCCAGCCTCGTGCACCGTGTGTGAGATCGGTGTGTTTTCCATGCAGTGCTGCTGCCTCCCTCCTGCCCAGGGATCCAGGAGCGGTCCCAGGTACGGGGCAGCCCAGGGGAAAAGGCAGACAGCAGTATGTGGCCAGGAAAATGTGCTTCTGGACGGCTTTGGACCGCTGCCTCTCCCCGTAGTGCACGTCTGTCACGAAAGCCGGAGCGCACGGGCACATCCCCATGCGGGTCTCGGACCACAGCACATGCGGGCTGCGGTGGGAGCCCCTGAAATCGTGCGGATCAGGGGTGAGGACCAGAGTTTTAGAGGTATGTGGGCTCCTAGACGTGTAGTGGGGGGGATTTGGTGGGATTTTCAGCAGCCCCTGTCTGGATTAAGTGCCTGGGATTAGGAGGAATGTGTGATCTGAACTGGGACACCCTCCCACCAGGCTGAGGCCCTTGTAGAAATGAGATGCAAGGATGAAGGATGGCAACAGTCTGTGCAGTCATCAGCTATTTATTCTGATTTTTCATGCAATACATCAGTGTGAAGAAGAAAGAGACCCCCCCGCAACCCACCACCACTACCCCGCAGTAACCACAGCATAACTCAGCTGCTTCAAAGCCTCCGTGTGGCTGGAGCTGGGATTCTGTTAGGGGAGCAGAAAGGTGTAACCAAAAGCATTGAGTTTACAAATGTGGTTTTTCTTCCCCGCCTCGAGGATTTTCAGGCCCCAGAATGAGTATGATTGAGCTACTGGGATTTTAAATTTTTTTTTGCCTTGCACAGCAGAAGCTAACAGGAGAGCCAGTCATGGGGCTGGGGAGACGTGAGTGCAGTGAGATGCAGAACAGTCATGCCACAGGGTAGAAGAGATGACAGGGACATAAAGGACAGCGAGACCCAAGGAATCCAATTAGAGCAGAAAAGTGAATAAATACTGCATTAAGGTGGATAGACATAATGCAGGAAGGCAGAAGTGGCAGATCCTGAGGTAACTCTCTGCCTACCGAGATGCTGAGGATTTGTTAGATGGAAAAACCCCAAACCCACCTGACACCCTCACAGAGCACCCCGTTAACCCTTTTGTGATGAACACTTCCGTGCCACCACACGGTAACATCCTAAGCTGAAAGCAGAGAGCAGAAGTGGTCCTCAAAGAGACTCGGAGAAGCCCCACCAGCTCCAGGGAGGGGATTTGCCCTTAAGATGCCTTGGCTTCATCCCTGGCAGGACGGCTCGGTGCCTCCTGTGAGACTGGGGGGGCCCTGGATCTACTTGGTGCAAAGACGTGGTTCCTCCTCCCGTTGAGGCTGGGCATCGCTCACCTGCCGGGGGCTTCTCTTGCTGTTCTCCTCCTGCCGTGGCTGGCGGGT